AACCCACACACCAAAAAAAAACATCTCATCCACATAACCCCACAACCCCCCCCCCCCCCCCCCAGTCAAAAATCTATTTTTGTCCCAGAACATCCGATCTTGATCAAATTTTCATAGAATATGTCCCTTGTGTTTGATATATCATACAAAAAATTTGAGCTCGAAGTATTGAGTTTTCCCAGAGTTATCTTGAAATTAAGGATCAAAAAGTATGTGTCCATGCGGCCCAGATTTATCCGCCATTTTACATGCTAGAAAGCTAGGGTGTATCTTAAAATGTATCTTAAAATTGGTATTTCTGACCAAAATTGGCAGTCGTTGACAGAGGGGGAGCCTTACAAGAATTCTACGATCTAGAACTGTTCTGCGCACATTAATTCTTTGAATGCAAAACAGACACCGATCCTTTCGTCTGTTGAATGCCAATACAAAATACCGCTAGTGCTTAGAAATGAATTCGTTGCAGTACTTTATGCTGTATAAATCATTTCAGTCGATCTATAGTTTCATCCAAGATCTTGTGATCTATCAAGTTGAGAAAAGAGATAACTAAAGTTTGATTCATCTCGAATCATTTGACAACATCAAGATGCTTTTTCAATAATGTTGTTCCATTGTCCATCCAATATTTCTGTACGACAGATTAGGCTACTTACTGCTATCCAATGTTATGCATCAATAAACAATAATACGTTATTTCATAAACACAAGAAAATAGGTCTCAATCAAAAATAGAAAACCAACGAAAATCATCTGTTCTACTTGGTAACAGTAGTTTCTCGCTTTCAAAACGTGAACTTATAATCAATTCTAACTCATCACATCACAATAGAAAACCGCAATTGATCGCAGTTTCCTATAAACTGTCAATTAATCGCGGTTAACCACCGGTATTTTTGATACCGTGGTTTGAAAAATTAACCGCCAATTGATCGCGTCATTTCGGAGGACCGACGGTTAACTATTTCTTTTTCAATCACTGTTTGTTTTGTGATCACTATTTTTTATATAAGAACAACATGATTTATCGAAAACTTAAGAATTTTTTCCATGACTTCCTGAAATGTGAACTTCGACTTAGTCGAAATATCTTTCAGACTGCATCTAAGAGTCCTGCCAGGCAGACAGATACTGCTCAGTCCAAATGTTCATCGGTATTGGAGTGGCTAACCGACAGTTTTACTGCTATGGAACTCATAAAAGCTCAACGCTCAAAAGAAAAATGAAAAAACATTCAGAGGATTTGTACTGATATCGCTTGCTCAGTAAAATACCATCATTTAACCGAGGTTAACTGAGCATTTTGTACCGGTTCGGGTAACCGGATGGTTAACTGAGATTAACTCACGTTTTTTTGCCGGTTTGATAAACATGAGTATTACCAAGTATCTGGGTAGTTACCATGGCTCATTTTACTAAAAGAAACTGAATATTCACAGTACGCTCTATGACTGTTATATTAGAAAATATCACATATTGCTAATAGTAAAAACGTTAACATTTGGATTTGAAAGTGACTAATGAGTTTCGCTCGCTGAATTTTGCGTTTCATTCAATCTGATATCGATGCAACTGTGACAAACATTTAGCTGACGGATACAGTAGCTGTTCGAAAACGACAACGATTAGCTCTTATGTTTTCTCATGATCCAGGATTACGAAAAACTAATGTTGATTGTATCCTGTTAAGAGGAAATAACAGAAACAAGAATTCCCTGTCATTGTATCGAGACGATTATTTTGTTGCTTTTCTTTCAGCAGTTATTTTCCGTTACAAAAATATAAGTAAATACGTCGGCGGAAATTCTGCACTGTAAAAACTAACATAACACGACATTACCACGACCAGGACCAAGACTCTTTTCCGAATTTTTCATAGTAAACATTTGGGTATTTTTAGCAGTATGTCTTCGGAGGTCGGATGGGGGCCGTGTGAGAATGAGTTCGAAAAGTAGTTTCACACAAAACATATTTTCATGATGCGCAAATATATATGTGTAACTGTAACACATAATGACTATTCACCACATAACTTCACTCAGATTTCAAAACATGATATACAAATACAAAACCAGGCTCATTTAATCTTCTTTTCTAATAAACTAAATAATGTGGTTCGCGGTAACGTCGGTGTATCAATGGTCAACCACAGTGCGTAAAGAGCTAGGTGAGTTAAATAATTTTCTTATTCTTCACTTTTCTCCCGTACTACTGCATGAAATGAACAGATAATTTTACAATCCTAATCACCATCTTCGAAAGTATATATGTTGTTCCATGTTTTTCTTGTATGTTCCAGCAAAAACGAATAGAAAAAGTGAATAAAAACATCGCCATATGGTAGGTCTGAACAATCGATTGATGAATTTGAGACATTTCCAGCACAGATACTTCAGACAAGTAGACCCTATCAGTGTGTAGAGCCAGACGGTCACTTCTTCGTGTGTAATTTAATCACTGTCGCCGTCCATGCTAAACGGTCACTGGGAATCGACCTGACGTTCACTTTATGTGTGTCATTTCACACTTTATTTTTTACAGTGTGATCAAGGATCAAGAGAATTGCGGCTTGTATTTGTAGTATCAATGTTAACATATCACTAAATTCTTAAAAATTTCCTTTTTATAAGGTAGCATAGTTAGCAAATTTGGGTGTATATATGTCGTCAACGAAAAGCACTTATAAGTTTTTATTATTTCTCTTGAACAGAATAGAGAACAAAAAGCTTTCATAACATGTAGTAGACAAACAATGAAGGGTGGAGTAGCGAACAAACTCACACTATTGATTAGAAGCAGAATTACTTTAGAAATATAACGATCAGATTAATGTTCTTCGTTTGACCCATTAATAGCTAACATTTGTTCGCCAGCAGCCAGTTTTCCAACAAGACTTTCTGATAACATGATAATGAGTCGAGCTCTCCATCAGCTAATACGTAAGAGAAGTAACGCTTTTCACACAGCCACGTGGAACTCGCCTTATGCTGTGTATGTACAGCGCGCAACAAATTCTTTTTTTTACACTTTTAAAAGACCTTAGAGTCTTACATATTTGAATCCATCTTGTACCAGTTTTCAAAGTCCAAACGCTTTTAGAATTCCATCAATAAATACCGAAAATATATCAGCACCCCTGTAACACTGGCCGCGGCCAGTGTTACAGTACACAACATATTTTGAAAGAGAAAGTGTGCAAGATAAAAAAATAAAAGAGAAAACAAAAACGAGAACGGATATCTAGAGTAGATGAAATCTTCTACATCTTTTGGGCCAAAGGATTGATGAATATTTCTATGATAACAGAAAAGTTTTTCTTATTTTACTTTGTCCGATAGTCTATTGACGGGTGCATAGAACGAAAAGGAAAATGGAAGCGGTACTTTCGATCTCTATACTCGTTTCTTTGTGTATATGGTACATAATTGCAATAGAATGGCAAGACGTTTGAGGTAATGTCTCTTATGTAACTAAGCAAGAGGGCTATATTTACTTAAAGTTCACTCAACAATCTAACGTGAGAGCTTTCTGAGGCGACACACTCCGTTTGTTTTCGTTCGCCTGTTAATCGATAGCATACATGGAGATAGTAAAAAGCCTAAATGGATATGGTGCCTTATTGCTTTCTTAAAAAATTATAGTGGTTTTTCTATTTTCACCAGCGGAAAACTCTAAAAATTAAAAAGTTCATAACTCAGACGAAGTGCTAGCTGGGCTCTTGAAATTTCAAAGCGCTAATAGACATTAGCCAGCTCTAATCATCCTGATAATTTCAAGGCTCTATGTTACCTACTTACAACGATCCAGAATTTGCAATTCTAAAGGGAATTCGCTTACATTACTTTTGGCTATAACGGCAAATTCGTGATTGAATTAATTCATATTAATCAGTTAATTCCCGTACACGTCTCAGAATCAGATTTTGAAATCACTTGATAGGTGGAAATTTCATTTCAAAACGACACGTTTTTATGTTTCATGACATGTTAGAAGTGATTTATGTAACGAAATATGACCTCTCGCCGCACTAGCTATTCACTGTCATCGTTGTCCAATAATAATTCATCTCTC